CACACGGAAGACTTACAGTCCGGCCACGCCACAGCGGAGGCCTTTCAAAAGGACGGTCACTGTGACCGCCTTGGAGAGAGTTTCTGCTACCATCCTGGCAAAAAGAGCTATCAACACATGGGCAAAGTTCACCAGTTCCTTCTTGCCCTGTCAGATATCAAGGAAACGCGATCTCACACAATATGCCTGATTAGGCGACAGAGACAATTGCAGAGGCCGACGCTTCAGCTCCTTCCAGGAAGGGAACACCGCTTTAGCCGAAGCGCCGCACGTTTGTGCCCGTTCTCGCGCTCGGCCTTCGAGCTTGGAGATAGCTAGCACCGCGCGCTGGTGTTCGTTTTGGAGCATGGCGGATGCCATAGCCATCTCTGCATCTATCACCCAAAGAAGAAGATTCTCTCCATCCTTACTCTTAAAGATCTTAACGCTCATCATGAGCGGCCTGGGTCGGAAGAAAATATCCGCCGACGCTATCAGCTTCTGCTGTAAGCGCTCTACAGAGCAATTTCATAGCTTGAAGACGTCTCTAGGCGTGCATTTCGCTCAGGGGCCTTGTGAAACAATGTACTTCACGCCCTCAGGGCCAAGCAGGGACATCAAATTATTAAACTCGTCATGCATGCCTTAGAACAATTAGGAATATTCCTCCATCCTCACAGGGGATCAGTCGTAATGACTCTGGCGTAGATTGACTACGAGTGCAACCAAGTACAGTGGGGCCGCCGTAGCTCTTTGCTTAGAGGAAGCTATGCTAAGGTCACCGACCTTCCGTTATTTTCAAGAACCAGTACAAATGTAGCGGATCGCAATCCGCTACTTCTAAGTACTAAAGCCTTACCAAGGCAAACGAACACTTCCACTCAACCTTGAAACTGTTTTAATTGTTTTTATTTGCGGCAAAGCCGCCGTTACCTTAAATCCTAGGTTCTCTTCATAATTACGGCAATATTTAATTTGTATAGCAAAACTCAACTAATATAGTAATATGCATTTCTACTGGCAATCCTGCCACGTGACTACTTCTTATTACGGTTTAGCCACACCACTATGTGATTACACTAACAGTGTAAAACACACCTACGTACCGTCGCATAATTTTTTGCAACCCGCTCTTTCTCACGTGGGCACGTGTAACCCTATGACGTCGACACGGCAGCTTCACGAATTTTACTACTGATGCGAGAATAGCATAATTGTAGACACGATTGCATATGACAATTGGTGGCTAAAATCTAGAAAATACATGTTAGTCACACTACCTGATGGTTCTACTTTGTAGCCCTTGCGAAGGTTTACGTTTATCCCGTCGGCCATGTAGATCAGAAAGGTTATCACGCTCATCGCGGTCCGGACCAAGACGATTGTGATAAAAGAGAGAAGATGCACACGACGGAAACTACGGATAAAATGCTTAAAGCGAGAGTGGACTAGCTTAATCATATGGCCACACAAAGAAACGGCAATCTCGAAGGCAAGGGCTTCACAGCGATCGAGAAAATTTCTTGAAACAACACTTTGATGCGATATTTGTATTTATAGTCTGATCTGGAAGACACAAGGGCCGATGGATGGCAGAATTGTATCTTACATAGCCTAAACAGAAACGACAATCTGACGTGTAAGGGTGTAATAAATGTTTTAAATAGCGAGCACAAATGGCAAGAAGCTGTTTATAAAGAAAACCGAATAGTCAAATTGCTGACCAGCATCTACATGGTTTGAAGTATTTTTAATTCAACTTACGAGAGCTGCTATGATCTTTCCTCAAACCTCAAATTCACATCGTCAAAAGTTTCGCAGAAAGAACTCTTAGACTTGTTGATCACTAAATTTACATCTGAACAAACCAGGTAGTATGAAGCGAGCGGTCGTGTTGAGCGATGTAAAATGATTGACGTCACGACATTCATAGCACTTTCTCGACGTCAAAGTGATAGATCACTTATGCCAGCCACAGTCACTTATACTTCGGTAGGCCCTTTCACTTTGGCCAAGTTTGAACCCCACTCGCTAATGCCGGCTTCAAATGATCATCAGTGACAGGATTTCGTAAACTTAAAGGCATATGTAAATTTCGAGATTCCTAGATGAGACGGGTAATCAAACGGCTTGGTTTGAACCACAAAAGCAAATTGGTTTGCTTTCAACAGAACGCAGCGTTATTGGATACCTCGTGAGATGTGTGTATTACAGTTCGTATTTTATGTCGAACATAAGGTGTATTCCCATTCCTTTTAATTTATTGATTGTGGAGCCCAACCTTTTTTTGGCTGAGAGCTAAGGCCGTGTTGTATGCGGACAGCTTACGTACCGTGATAAAGTAATCTTTTGGACAAAAAGAAGCTGCATGGACACAACTTGAATCGCTTTATTAAAGCGCCGCCCCGACTCTAAATTTTCGAGTCACCTGAATATAGCATCAGATTTTGCATATGACCCATATGTTATACGTATCGCACAATTTAGGCTCAAGTCACCATCGTGACATGTAGACCAGGAGACATAAGATCGTATTTACTACTGGAGTAAGCTACTAAGGCTTAAGCTTTATCTCAATACTATTTGTAGCAGATAGGGACAACCATCTTGCCATTCTCCGCGAAATGCTTGGCGACGATGCCGCAATGCGTATGACACAGAATTTGTATCGCTTTAAATAGCTTTAAGCGAGCGAGATACATTTTAATGTTGACAAGGTTTTACTCTGAAGCCACTGCTTACGTCATGGAATGAATTTACATCTTCCGCGCTAAAATGACGATACTCAGATGTAATGATGCGATCATGCTCGTTATCATCTGATTGAGGTAAAGTAAAGCTTATGACCAAGACCAAAGATTTCTGTGCTCTACTCGACTATGAGCAGTTTCAATGTCGAAACGCACGTTGTGACCAAAGGAGCTACAGCAGATTATCCCTGGGGCGATTCATGACTCTGATGCATAACCAGCACATCCCACGGCGTTATGCGTGACTGTTATGAGGAAAAACACCGATCCTCATGCTTATATAGCAATAAACATCGTCAAGAACACCGAACACATACTCATGTTATTTTGCGGCAGACCCCTTCCTGCATCAGGCGTTTGCACCGAAATGAAAGGCGCATTTGGCTATCGATAAGCATGCGCGTGTCGTTCGTCGCAATTGGCTTTCTGACACATAAAGTCGGCGCCAGGTGGGAAGATTATTTATCCCTTCAGCTCATTCTGTGCTTCACACCCGCGGCAGTTTTTGCTTCACCGCATTGTGACATTCTAAAAAAAGGGATGCGTAGAATTCTCGACTATAACCGTCCTACTTCTCGTGCTTGAAGTTCATTGAGTGCCTCCAAAGACGGTTTGATCCATAGCAAATAATGAATTCGTCTTCCGATCAATACCAACTCGGCAATCTCACTGACTTGTACTGCCTTGTATACATCAATTGCTTGCGAGAGCTTCGACGTGAGGTACCAAGACAGATACTATCCGCAAAGGCTACCCATGCATAATGATTGCTCACCAAGGAGATCGTAACTATTATAGCATATTAAAAATTGATAACCGACAGCCTGGCTAACAAGAGTTCACTACTCCTAGACATAATTCCACGGATTGTCTTCTCCGTTCACGCGACAAGCCTGATTTGGCGGTGCGATTACTCGCGATATGTGTTGCTTGGATGAGAGAATGCACCAACAAGGGGAAACTGCAAGTTAGTGCCCGTGTTCACACCACAACAAGGGGAAACTGCAAGTTAGTGCCCGTGTTCACACCCGACGCTTCAATTTTAGACTGCTTGAGAGACGCGCTGTTGATCCATCCCGAGGAGACTCAAATCAATGACCAGCTCAGCCCATCGGATCCAGACGACAATTTTCTCATCGCTAAGTGTATCAACGAACAAAAGCTGTCTCAACAGAATGATATCGAAAGAAGCCGGTGGTGCTCTTGATGACGCCTGATTGAGACGATTCTGAGAGTGAGAGTGTATGTTATACAGCTTTTCATCGCTGGTGAGCGGTAACCGCTTCCTGGCCTACGGTCGCCAGACCCCGTGACGAGCACCGATACGTGAACATATCATGTTTCCACCCTCACAAAGGATACAGTTTCATTTGGACTCGCTCGTTGATTTGGCGACAAGTATACCAAGTACAATGGGGTTGCCCTTCCCTCGCACAGAGAAAGATTTTATTTTCTGAGTCAGTGCAATCAATGTATCAAGATTAAAATCATCGGCCTCCCTCAATCCGCCGAACCTATAACCTCTCAAGCTAACAATTATTCAAGTTAAATTGTATCTGAAGTGCTATGCTATACTAAATATACCTATGTTTTACCATTAAAATATTAAACCATTGCGTTTTGGCTAACCGCCCAAGTTATCCCATTGACCTCCGTTTCGGAGTACTATCACTCCCACCCCACACACATTATTAATCTGGTGGTTATGGTACCTCAGAATTTTGCTTCAAGTCCGAAAAGTAATAGTGTAACATGTTTGTCCACCATATTATGTTACTTGAAAGGAAACTTCACCATCCAAGGTATTTCTGAGCTTCGCCTTATGTCCGAGAGATTACAGTGCGATGTGCGTACGTACACTATACTAGTCATTACATTATATCACCGTAACACCGTCTAACATAACCATTCCATTTTTCCTGTGACTGTATTGCGTGTTCCATTTTTCTTTACCATATATAATAAGTAATAACGTGCTATACGTCATCCTACTGAACACAAGTATGTTGCTTCACGTGCATCGAAAGTCAATTGAGATCAATATATTTCCAGATGATCAAATAAAGCCGTTACCAAAATAGTCGCTCTTCGAGGTGTGGGCAGTAAATATAGCGTTGATAGCTTTATATAAAGCTACCTCAATGCTTGAATGATCGCCATCGAATTCTCGCGTTTGACGTAGCGTATGGTTGCGAGCATTCTATGTCTTTAAAAAACGCGAGTTTTCAAGAAAAGTCCAGCGACGCAAGCTGAACCGCTCTATCATGATGCATGCAATACCGGTACGTACATGCGCAATATTTTTCTCAAAGATACCTAAGTGAGCGCTGAGCCACACAGAGTAACACTGTCGTCATGCCGTCCGTTGACTGATGCATGCAAGCGCTCCGCCTCTAACATGGCTACAATGCGACGTGAGCCTACGCTTAGCCGTAGCATGTACGATTCAACAGGACAGCATCAAGCCGAGTCGCGATTAACCAACTTTCAAATACTTGTAGATATAAAAACTTCAAAGGCTCTTTCACCTACAGATTCAGTCAAAAAAAAGAGTCATCAACATCGCTGACTGAGATTCTTTTTTCTGTCAAGACGCGGGTAGGTGTATCCAGCTTATGTAACTGTAATCAATCGTGTATTAGCCAATCGTACTACGCTAATCTGGCGTCTCGACGTCTTGCCAGCTGCTGTGGCGTTCATCATGTGCCTTCCCATTTCCCATTTGGCCTCGAATCGCACAATTCTTTCCACACCCTCTCAAGTCTTCATGCTTCCAGATTACGGCTATACTCCATCCCCTGCCTCGTCCATTCACTATCAAACACAACACGTGGCAAGTGGAGAGCGATCTAAGCTCTTTCTTCATCCACCTTCGGTTGAATATGGTCACATGCCACAACACACATTGACACCACAACATGCCACGTGTACAAAATTTGAAACAGAACCACTTGTGATGAATGTGCATGGTGTACAACACTATTACCCATTACCTCATGGACATTCGCAATTATTGCATGTGTCATCGGATTATGAGTATCAAAATGGGGCAGTCGTCACACCATCTAGTACACGAAGTGGCTCAAAACGATCGCGAGAAGATTTAAACTTGAAAGAGAAAAAGCGCATGTTGAAGCTTAATGATCGTATTTCACAATTGAAAAACATGCTTGACGACGCGGGTGTACAGACAAAGAAGAACAAACAATCGATTCTGGACAATGCAGCACATTATATCGAAATGTTGCGTAGCAATTTGCTCATTGCAAAGCAAAAAGCTGAACGTGCTGAGAAACAAGCTGAAGCCTTTCGACTTCAAGCTCAACATTCGTCATGTGATCGTATTGTACGTGGTGTATTTCAAAAAACTACGACACCTCGTGTTGTCGTAGATCTGCACATGCAAACTGTGACTTTTAATGCGGCATTTGTACACTATACTGGACAAACCGAGTCCGAGTTACAACGACAAAAATCTTTGCGCTCGTATTTAAGCGCAGATGAACAACAACTTGATCGGATATTAGCACATGTGCGCACGACAAAACAATCGACCAGTGCACAGGTGCAAGTTGCGGCACGAGATGGCAATTTAGTGCCGATGAATCTTGTGGCAGCAGTGATTACTGACGAGAGTGGCAATGCTACAAATGTCGAGTTCAGTCTCATTCCATTAGAGACTCAAAAGCAAGAGTTAAGAACGAAAGAACAGCACGAAGATGAGGCCGAAACGTCCGCAGATGAATCAGTGACTGATAAAGATGACGTCAGTCGTGAGCACTGAAGACGGAGGTTGTAGTGCGTGTGAGTGCAAGCGTTGAGAAAATGCATGAATGAGTTTGAGTATCCTTTTTGTGTCATTTGAGATAACATTTTTAATAAAGTGATTGTTATTGAGTTGTTTATCTTGTCAGTAGCTTTCATATTCTCGTTCGCAACATGCGCGGCGATACATGAGCCTGCGATCCTTTTGAACATCGTGCCTTAAGGTGGAAAATTCGGTTTCGTCGAAATTTGATCTCTTGTCCATATCTTTAGTGATGACGCTAGCAATTCCAAATGCACGACGGAGCCGAAACAGCGACTGCGGCTTCGATTGAAGTACTGCTCGGGTGAAAGTGCGTTGTATGCTCCATTGATGGAAGATTATCACCTTTAGTTTTTAAGAAAGATAAATAATCAGATGTTTATCAAGGTGACCTGACAGGAAGGTTAAGCGCGAAGTAGAAATAACATGTCACTCTGCTATAGCTTTTTTTATTCGCATATACCGCAAGATCTGTTTCAGCTGGTCTATCTTCTGTGATAACCCTTCAAGTCACGCATGTATTATCAAAATATATTTTTTTCTCAAGTGCAATCAAATACGGGATACATACGGACGATGGTGATAACACCAGACTGCAAGCCAGACGTCATCAGAAGTGCAAATCTTCGAAATTTCTTACCGACGTGGATTTTATTGAAGAGCTCGACAATATTTTAGGATAACGACAAGGCTTTGGAACGAAGACCTTCAATTTTTGAGCGTTTTTCATCTGTTTGCTAAGCTTCTTAAACGCCCAACGCATGTTTTCTAAATTAATTTAAGTTCTCCTTCATAATTAATGGCTTCTGAGTTTTACGTGTTTGTGCCTTCCGTTGACACTGGTCTCGTGAATGAACTACAATATTCTGGCTCAGACTGCAAAGGCATTTTGGCTCATGGCTTGATGCTCCTCCCTATGTTCGACCATTTTCAGAGTCGAGGATCAGATCGCTCAGAGCGGCGTGAGTCATATCCAATTATACATAGATGAGATTATTTTATTTATTGTTACGTAACCAGTTTTATATTTATTGAACAATGAATCCTCGTATATTATTTCATATGGCAGGAGCTTTGGGATCCGTCCGCACGTCCTGATTGCTTCGTTTACATCATCTTTTTAGTCGCAGACCAAGACTTTAATATACCGTCGATACTGGCCCGAACGAGAAACCCACGACGACAGCAGAGGCGTGACTACCGACGCAAGCCTAAGTTTAGATGCAAAGAGCATGTCTCCAACAATTGACTAAGTAAAAATGTATTGGGTGCAATAAACAATTCAATGTCTTGCTTACAAAGTGACGAACGTGCTCGAGGGCCAACACGGCGGTCGAGCGAAGAACCATGACCGCAAGTCGCTGTACGGAAGCGTGGGTTGGAAAGTGTGGCCAGCATGGCAGGTCTGACCAGTGGTTTTTGAGTCCATGACGAGATTGGTCATGGTATCCGCCATCTGGTCGGACGAGCAACGGTGATGAGACCAGAAACAGATCGCTATCCCATCTACCGACCGCATGGTAGCGATGTACAGTTATCAAAGTCATCGATTTTTTTGTGGCTGATCATCGCGCATTTGTCGTACGATGAGCAACAGTCCTCAGTCGCGGTGGGACCCCGCTATGAGTACTTTTAAGATGCGTGGAGTCTAGTAAGAAGATCCTTATTTTCCGCTTGATTGTGGTTGCTGAGGGGTGCACATAGCTCATGGCGGCGCTCCTCACAACTCCGACCAGTGCGGTTTGACGGTCAACACACACCTCTACGAATCCAGCGTTTCCAGAGCCAGTATTTCCACTTGAATCTCCATTGAAGAACAACTGATACATCGCTGCGGAAGGATGTGCTGTGGTGCTGTTAGGATGTCCGGAGCAACGAAAAGATGACGAGGTTCTTGTAGCAACCGTCCATCGGCTTCGTGATTTATAATGGGGTCAGTCCCATTACACATGTCGTGTGAATCATATCCTTCTGTGTGCGTTTAACATTAACTGTATATCTTGCGCAGTTGTATATTCCTCAAATCTGCTATACCATAATTAGAGGCACTTATCAGCTTAGGGAAGGTTGAAGATCTTTTTGGCAGTAAAAATGTCACTTCACCTATTCCTTCTCGTTCGCGTAAATCGACGGCTCGCTGGAAGTTTGCAAAGCGTGTTAGACGATTCAAGTCTTCCTTAGTAAATACGTGTATACAGACGGGCATTTCACGTTACACTTGGTCATTCCAACACCGACTACTTCGATGGATTCATCTATGGATTATGTGGACATGGTCGCCCTCTGTAACAGGGTTACACGTACCCTGATATGATGGGGTGGGTCAAACAAGATGATGTGACCACACAATGGTGTGACAACACCTTAACAAAAAGCCACTACGTGGCTGCACTGCCATTAGTTTTGCATTTTAATTAGGTTTTACTATTTAATTATGAAAACATGAATATTCAGATACAGGCGACTTTGCCGCAAATATAACAAGGTAAACACATACAGTTTACATTCTAAACGGAACAGTATATTTGCCTTGGGTTAAGATTGTGTTTTTTTCTCGGAGTAAGCGGATTGCGATAAGCTACACTCGTACTGGTTCTAATGAAGAACGAAGATGGTGACCTTAGCTTAGCTTCCTTTAAGCAGAAGAGCTACGGCAGCCCCGCTGCAACCTCGGTTCAACAGGGGAAAATAAGTTCCTAGAACATTCGCAATGGAAGTGTGTGGTGAAGCTGTAAGTCTTAATCGGAAAATACGCGGTCTTCGACATGGTCCAGTTGGATCAAGAGGCGATAATCCAATGCTTAGCAAATGTTGCTGCGTATGAGCACGGATTTTTATCCCGGAACATACCGACGCCAGCTCCATCACCTCCACCAGAAGTGATGATAGCACCGTCGGCACACACAGAATGTCCCGTGAA